GACAATTGTTTATTGTTACGATATCTCTCAAAAGTCTTGAAATCACTGTTAAGTCTTAAATCTCCCATCTGTGTTTTGTGCACATGGCCTGAATGATGCACGTGACAAAGGGGCTGGGAGTCTCGGCGGCTGCATAGATGGGCTCTCAGCACGAGGGGCTCAGCACAGACGGGGAACGCTCTGCCTGTGCCCTGTAGAGACAGCTGTCCATTTCTCCCCGTGTCTGCCTCATCGGGACGTGGGGCTTGGTGTGCGTGAACTAGACATATGCACGGTGTGGCTCCCGTGGGGTTCTGCTTCCTCCCTATGAAATGAATGAGACTGAATTAAATGCCCGGTGCTGGCAGGCGTGCAGGGGCAGCTCCTTACACACCACTGAGGGGAGGGGCGGTATGTGTTGTCAAGGTTTCTTTAATTGTACCAAGATTTGGCTCAATGTGCCAAGAGCCTTATGTTCTATAGTGTCCTTTCATCCTAATCAAAGCCTTGGAAATGTATCCTGAGAAAATAAAGGGGACGAGAAAGGCCCTTTGCTTCCGCATTAAATCCCAGCAGCGAACACTCGCAAGCAGCGCCGGTGGCGAACAAAGGGAGCATGGACGAGGAGGTGATCACAGACCCACTGGCGGAGTGGCTGTGGCCGCCGCAGTGATGGTTCTGAACACGCAGTCATAACACAGAAAACGGTGTGGCACAAGGAAGGGAAAAGAGCAGGAGAGAAAGGTGTGGATGGTGGAAATGACATTTATATGGATGAAGACTGCAGTGGGGCCCTGAGAAATGAGTCGCTGCAGTGCCTTCCCCGCACCCCGTTGTTTTACAGTCATTCATCCAAGTTGAAGTTCACTCATCAGAAGGTGGCTCTGGGAACACCTGAACTGATTCCAGGTCCGGAATGGTGAGGTTGGGGGCACCTGCCCCTGCTGTGGCAAGGGCACTGACAGGACACTGAGAGGAAATGCCTGGCTCTGGCACACAGCCCCAAGTGGCCGAGGCATGAGCTTCTGCCTCGGTTTCCCTCTCCATGGCTCCTATCACGCTCCCCGGGCCCCAGCCCCTCAGGCATCTCTCCTTGTGTGTGTCTCCAGGCCCTGCACCTGGAGGTCCTGGGGCTCCTGCAGCAGTTCAAGAGACAGCAGGCGAGGATTGTGTGGGGTCAGGTCTGCCGAGAGACAGGCAGCCATGGGACAGGACCCCACGTGTCACCCTGCAGGGGGGCACTCTGATGCCCGCCAATGCCCAGTTGGGCATCCTTCTGTCTGGAGGCCTTGCTGGCAGGCTCAGGGCCCACCCTGCTCTAGGCCGCTGGCACTGGCAAAGTTTCTGGGACAGCATGGCCCCAGCCCAACCCCTCTCTGGGAGACGGGAAATGTGTGCGGGGACAAGGGCACGATGTGGTGTGTTGATAAGGAAGGCCAGCCCTGGAGATGGATGTGCATTCCCCTGCTATTTCAGTGGGTGCTAGAAGAGGGTAACAGTCACCTGCCCCCAGCCAGGTGAAAATGTGCCCAAGAGCCCTGCTGTTCCTCCTCCGTGTGGGGCTGGCAGAAGGTGGGCCGGCTGTGCCAATGAAAAACCACAAGCTCTGCTGTGCTTCGGGAGCTGACGTGCTCAGACCTTCCCGGTGTAAAAGCCACCCAGGACTCCTAACGTATGTTTCGTATTATGATTGTAAGGGTGGCAATTAATTCTATGCTTTAAAAAAGCCACTGTTGGGGCCACACAGTGAGTTAAAGCACAGTTAGAGATGGCATCTGTAGTGCCAAGGTGGCCAGTTTATAAACCCTGTTCCTGCTGGGGTCCCCTCATCCCTCAGCGTGGGTGGCTGGCAGTACAAATCTGCAAAATGGAAATCCATCGGACCTGCAGAAGAAAAGCAGGTGGCTGGTCAGAGCGTGTCTTGGGGACTGGAGAGATGTTCTGCCTGGGCCAGGTGTGGCAGAAGGGACAGAGTTTGTAAAGCAGGCTCCCGAAGGCCCTTGTGAGGACCACGCGCATGTCTCAGGCGGACACCTGTGAGCTCTGAGAAGTGGGAGCAGCCCGGTGCGCGAAGCACCTCACACAGTGCCTGCTACTGTGGAGAAAGGGTCCCCGAAGCCAGCACTCCCCACGGGGAGCTCGCCACCTGCCAGCGCCGGACCACAACACAGGCAGCAACTGCTTCTAGCCAAGGCTCTGTGCCAAAAAGACTTGCCAACTGCACTGCCACGGTTCCCCACGGCTTCCGTGCTGGCTGCAGCGGGGGCAACCCTCTACCTGCCCATCCAGCCCTGCAGCTGAAACCATGTCCCAACAGCTGCTGGAAATGACCCCACTGCTTTAGCCTCAAAGGCTGTGGTGATCAGATCAGAGCCCTTTCTGCCCTTTGCTTTAATATGGTGCAGAATTGTACACATTTACACATTCTCAAGAGTTTGAGACCAGCCTGGGCAATACAGGGAGACCCTCATCTCTAGAAAATTTTTTAAAAATTAGGTTGACGTAATGTTGCACACCTGTAGTCTGAGCTACTTGGGAGGCTGAGATGGGAGGATTGCTTGAGCCCAGGAATTCGAGGCTGCAGTGAGCCGTGATGCCACCACTGCACTCCAGCCTGGGTGACAGAGCGAGACCCTGTCTCTACCAAAAAAAAAAAAAAAAGAAAGTTAAAAAAAATACTTAACATAAATTTACCATGTAAAGTTCAGTGGCATTAAGTACATTCACACTGTTGCCCAAGCATCACCACCATCCATCCACAGAAGTTTTTCATCATCCCAATTGAAACCCTGTACCCATTAAACACAAACTCCCCAATCTCTCCTCCTCTCCTCCCCCAGCCCCTGGTGACCACAGTTGTACATTCTATGTATTTTTTACTATTCTGGGTACCTTATATAAGTGGAATCATAAACTATTTGTCCTTCAGTGACTGGCGTATTTCATTCATCTTTGTCAAGATGCACCTCTGTTGTAGCAAGTGTCAGAGTTTCCTTCCTCTTTCAGGCTGAATACTATTCTATTGCATGCATATCCCACATTTGGTTCATCTGCGCATCTGTCAGTGGGCAGTGGGCTGTCTCCCCCTTTACCATACGGTTTTCCACAGCAGCTGCACCGTTTCATTTATTTATTTATTTTTATTTTAATTTTTGTTTCGAGACAGGGTCGCACTCTGTCACCCAGGCTGGAGTGCAGTGGCGCAATCTCGGCTCACTGCAACCTCTGCCTCCCAGTTTCAAGCGATTCTCCTGCCTCAGCCTCTCGAGAAGCTGGGATTACAGGCATGTGCCACCACTGTGCCCGGCTCATTTTTGTTTTAGTAGAGACAGGGTTTCACCGTGTTGACCAGGCTGGTCTTAAACTCCTAACCTTAGGTGATCTGCCCGCCTCAGCCTCCCAAAGTGCGGGAATTGCATGTGTGAGCCAATGTGCCCAGCCTGCTGCACCATTTAAAATCACCACCAGCAATGTAAAGGGTTCCAGTTTCCTCACATCCTTGGCAACGCTTGTTGTTTTCTCCTGTTTTGATAATGGCCATCCTAATGGGTGGGAAGTGGGATCTCACTGTGGTTTGGATTTGCATTTCCCTAAGTATCAGTGATCTTGAGCATCTTTTCATTTGCCGTTTGTATATATTCTTTAGAAAAATGCCTGTTCAAGACTTTTCCCCACTCTTTTCAAGCAAAGAAAATTTAATTCATAGAATTGGTTCCATGACAGGATGTCATTACCCCACCTCTGAGATTTAAGGAACAAAAGAGAAACCGAGGCGTTTCAAGACCCAGAAGATCAGAGGAGAAGCGCCGCAGATCTGGAGCTCATGCTTCGAGCTTGGCTGCTGCTGGGACCTCTGCAGAGGCATGAGGCAGCTAGCCCCGAGACTCCTCTTTTACCCATTTTTGAATTGAGTTGTTTGGGATTTGTTTGCTTTTGAGTTTTAGGAGTTTGTTAGATATTATGGATATCAATCCCTCATTAGCTATGTGATTTGTAAATATCTTCTCTCCCATTCAGTAGGTTATTTTTTTACTTTGTTGACCCTGTCCTTTGAGGCACAAATGTTTCCCATTTTGATGAAGTCCAATTTGTCTGTTTTTGTCTTTCGTTGCCTGTGTCTTTGGTGTCATATCCAAAAAACTGCCCAATTCAATATCGTGAAGCTTTCCCCCAATGTTTTTTTGAGATGGAGTCTGGCTCTGTCGCCCAGGCTGGAGTGCAGTGGCACAATCTCGACTCACTGCAACCTCTGTTTCCCAGGTTCAA